GTATGTATATTTGTATGTATGTGCTATGTATGTGTACGTGTATATATATACATATATATATATGTATGTACATATATATACATACATACACATACATATACATATACACATACATTCAGGAATGTTTACATTCTAATAGTATTATGGAACAGAGAGTAGCACCAGTAAAGTCTTCCACTAATTGTGCGTTACTGTTATATGTTTTAACTATCTAACAGTAACCCACATATTTTTGGTAAGACATTACGGTCCTACTCTACGTTCTTTCATCCTCCTACTTACAATAGGAGTATAAAAGGACGATGAAGTGGAGACACTTCCTCATCCATATTTCTTTCTACTTAAATTAAGTATAAGCGTTGGCTCTCATAACAAACATCAGCATCCCTTGCAGTCGCAATGGACGTAAATCTAGCTAATCCAGTTCATCCTCGCGACGCCGCCGAACGAACACGCATCGAGCTCGAAGAACGTGGTTACGCTGTCCCTGGTTCAGGGCGTAATTCTTTATACAGACTTCGGTTACACATCACCCGAGTCTCAACATCAGAACACTTCAACACCGTTTTGGAGTGTCCGGCTCCGTCTAATGGTGAGTGGAGCACTGGTGTGGCTGATAACTCTGCTACGGCTGTGTGGTGCCAGGACCACGCTCGGTTTCCAGACGGGTTGAGTACCTCGCCAATTGTGACTCCGTCGTGGTACGAGAAGCAGAAGGCTCCAGTTATTAAGGAAATGACAAATATTTTAACCTGGGCCAATTATTTGGCCTACTGTTTAAAGCAAATCGATTTGGGAGGCCTATCTGTGGAGCATCGGGAGCAAGCTTACCGTGGAGTAATTGTGGCTCTAGTCAAGGATTTGGGTCAGACTGTGGAATTGAAGCGACTCAGAGTAGAGGAAGGAGCAGAATTTGCAGCTCTTGTGGAGCATCAGGTATGTCCCACATTCCAAAATTCTTCAGATATCTCAAAACTCGTCAAAGCAACGAAGAAAAAGCAGCACGAACTCGCGCTGCATCGTCCGATGCAAAAATTCAGGCCCAAGGACAACTAACTCCCCAACGGTCGCACGGCAGTGTCCCCAGGATCGATCCGAATGCCCCTCTGTATTGCAGGGTAAGAAATGTCCTAGCGAAATGGATAGAGAACGGTGCATCCCAGGAGCTTCTGCAGGCCATCAAGTATGGCGTGCGGCCCAAGTGCGGGCCGAAGGGTCCTCCACCTCCATCAACGTAGGGTCGGTGGATAACAATTCCGGAGGTGGACGAGGCGATGATCCAGGCGGAATTTTTACGACTCGAACAGGGCGGAATTCCCCGACGTTGCCAGGAATCGGATGCAACTTTGGTACACTCAGCCTTTATGATACCAAAATCCGACGGGAAGAGAGGCCGATTGGTTCTAAATCCGGAAAGCAACAACCCTCACGCGCAGAGGAAGACCTTCCGAACAGGGGGTCCAGAAAAATTGGCGCACATTGCGAAACCGGGGGATGTAGCTATGTCAGCCGACATGAAGGACGGCTTTTATGCGTTAGCTGTTGCCAACCCCAGGATCTGGCAATTTCGCGACCACAAGCACCAGCTATGGTGCTTCCTAGCACTACCGATGGGGGCAAAATTCTCCCCAGCATGGCTCAACCAGCTGATGGACGTAGTGAGGAAAGTAACAAGAGCTCGAGGGATACGAATAATACTGTATGTCGACGCTCTTCTGTTGCTGGGACGGCCAAAGACGTGTCGGAAGCATGCTAGGATTATAACAACAATATTCATGGAGTTTCAACTCCAATTCGCACAAGGAAAAGGTTATTGGATAACACCTGTAAGCAGACTCCAACACCTAGGCGGTATCATAGACTTGAGAGCAAACACCATAGAGATGATACCAGAGTTCTAGGCGAAGGTCCTGAGACTAACCCAACTTCGCCGGCTAGTATGGTTCTGTCACCAGAACAAATATCCCTGGCCAGTAGATCTCGCGTACATGCCGGGGAAGCTCAACTCAGCAGGCGATATGCTTTCGTGCAGCGGTAAGCTTCTCCAGTACTATTGGACTGTGACTTCAGAAGCAATCTTAAAGATATTCCAAAAGTGGCATATTAGACCGAATGCAGCGGAACGAACATATTTAAACAGCTACTACCTCCAAAAAGCACACGACGGGCATGTATCGTTCGCGAACTGGTTCCATGACAAGTGGGAGCAGTCTTTGGAGCTTCTCGCTCCAGAACGAATCTCCCTGGCCAGTAGATCTCGGGTACATGCCGGGGAAGCTCAACTTAGCAGCCGATATGCTTTCGCGCAGCGCAAGCTTCTCCAGTACCATTGGACTGTGACTTCAGAAGCAAGCTTAAAGATATTCCAAAAGTGGCATATTAGACCGAATGCAGCGGAACGAACTTATTTAAACAGCTACTACCTCCAAAAAGCACACGACGGTCAATGTATCGTACGCGAACAGGATCAACGACAAGTGGGACCAGTCCTTGGAGCTTCTCGCTCCAGAACAAATATCCCTGGCCAGTAGATCTCGGGTACATGTCAGGGAAGCTCAACTTAGCAGCAGATATGCTTTCGCGCAGCGGCAAGCTTCTCCAGTACCATTGGACTGTGACTTCAGAAGCAATCTTATCGATATTCCAAAAGTGGCATATTAGACCGAATGCAGCGGAACGAACATATTTAAACAGCTACTACCTCCAAGTAGCACACGACGATCATGTATCGTTTGCGAATAGGTTCCACGACAAGTGGGAGCAGTCTTTGGAGCTTCTCGCTCCAGAACTAATCTCCCTGGCCAGTAGATCTCGGGTACATGCCGGGGAAGCTCAACTTAGCAGCCGATATGCTTTCGCGCAGCGGCAAGCTTCTCCAGTACCTATTGGACTGTGACTTCAGAAGCAATCTTAAAGATATTCCAAAAGTGGCATATTCGACCGAATGCAGCGGAACGAACCTATTTAAACGGCTACTACCTCCAAAAAGCACACACGACGGGCGTGTATC